GAGGTACGTGCCCTTGACCAGAAATCGAACCCGTGACCTTCAGTGCCCAGGCTGACGCTCTAACCACTGAGCAACACTGGCCAGGGCTGAATTAATGTATTTTAAGACTGAGTAAAGGATTTTGTATAAGCCTTAAAGGAGAAAGGAAAAATCCAAGAGTGAAAAGAAGGAGCTAGCCAGCTTACGTGCCCATCAGACGTGAAGACAGCTTGCTCACGGTTCTTTTCGCCACTCTTTCACCCTGAGGCACCTCAATTCAGAATTGCATGCCCCTTCTGCTCTAACCAAAGCCATTTCTTGCATTTTCTACTTATTCTTGTCCAAGAAGCTTTGCTGTTTAGCCATTTTCTACAGAATAAAGTCAAATTCCTTTGCCTGGCAAAAAAGAAAAAGAATTAGCTTTTTTGCTTGCTAGTAATAATAACTGAACATGCTTTCAGCTTTTGGTTTCATTGCTATATCCCCAAACAATGTCTTCCTGTGAACTTTTGGAAATGGATGCCTAGTCATCCAGCAGTATTCCCTATTTACCAACTTACTGTGGTATTTCTGTCTTTCCTTGTAATTACTGTTCACAAATGTTCAATTACTAATAGAGTCACAGAGTGAGCTCCATCATAGAGCATAACATAGCATGCAAGACCAGCAAATTATATGTTTCCCTCATTTTCAGTACTTATTGTTATCTTTTTTTAATCCACCCCTTCTACAGACAAAACTTGCCAATGGCACTTCCAGTATGATTGTGCCCAAGCAACGGAAACTCTCAGCAAGCTATGAGAAGGAAAAGGAACTGTGTGTCAAATATTTTGAGCAGTGGTCAGAGTCCGATCAAGTGGAATTTGTGGAACATCTTATATCCCAAATGTGTCATTACCAACATGGGCACATAAACTCGTATCTTAAACCTATGCTGCAGAGGGATTTCATAACTGCTCTGCCAGGTATGTCTATGGGTGTTTGTGAGCCATTAATTTGCCTGGAAGATATGTTACAATGGTAATAGTACTGGATCTTCAGCTATACATCTCTCTTTTTAAAAGTCTTTATTGGCTTGATTTTTACAAACTTAGTCCTTTAATTGTACCTTCTTGGCGTATAAATACAAAAACAAACAAAAAATCAAACTCTGGAGGTAGAAACTCCTCTTTTCCCCATCTTCTCCCTATCTCAGGCTCTTTCTATTCACCCTGTTTACCCATGTACCAGTCCAAGTAAAATCTTTTCTGAGGCATTATCTGATTTGTGTCTTAGTTTCAAGATATGTTAACTTATATACTTGGCTTTGGATTCTAAGGGAGTTTATCAACAGAATATTTAAATTGTAGGAATGAATAAGAAACATTGAGTATTTTGAGTATTTTAGAAAAAAGGGTATCTCAGGAGCCTTGTTGTGACATTAAATATGTAAATTCCAGGCTTTATAATCGCACTGTGCACAGTAACCAAGTAGCTATTGTAAAATACACACACACACACACACACACACACACACACATTTTTTAAATACATATTATGAACATTTTAAGGCTTTTATTACATGTCCAAACTATGCTCTAAGAAAAATATACCAACTTATACCCTCCCCAACACTGCTTATTACCACTTGCTTAATCTTTGCCAATTACAACTTTTAAAAAAAATTTATTTTTCTAAAATCGCATTTTAAATTGCCCTTTAAAACAAAAGAAATGCCTGTTTATAACTTAGAAATAACCATTTTAAAGCTGAATTTGTACCTGTATCTTTTGTTAAATAGAATAGATTTCTGCCCCCTCTTCACTCATTGGATTTTGTTTTCGCCACAGGCAAACAGTTTTCTTTGTGCGAACAACCTGTGTGTACCTCATTACTGTGCTCTCTCCATTCACTGAGGCATGTTACTATCTCAAGCATATACCACTAAGAATTGAACAGGAGTTGATTAGACAGTCTGGTGTATCCCTTTGCCTAATACTGATCCCTGGTGTGTATCTGCTGACCATTTTATAAGATATTAAATCATCAGTCTAATGCTTTACGGCCCTTTTAACTTATAAACCTACACCATCTGGCTACATTTAGTAAACCTAACTACTTCAAAAAATGTCTATAATCCATTAATGTAATGGGTTTGTTTGGAGTGTTAGGTGAAATTACTTCCAAAGACTTATTATAGGGACATTGTGAAAGATCAGGAGCAATTTGATGGCAACCATTTAAAAGCACAGAAATGGATTTTGGAAACTTCTGATGGTGTGGAAAGTTTCAGTATAAAGACCTAGGAATTGTACCATCACTGTATTTTGCACAAAGAGCTAAGTATTACATTTTTAATTGGCTTATAATAATGTTCCTTTAATAAGAATGAGGTGATGGATGCCTCCATCTGCTTATGCTTAAATATGAACATGATGGCCCTGGCTCAGTTGGTTAGAGCATTGTCTTGTACACCAAAAGGTTGCTGGTTCGATTCCTGGTCAGGGCACATACCCAGGTTGCAGGTTCGATCCCTGGTTGGGGCTCTTACAGAAGGCAACTGATGCTTCTCTCACACCGATGTCTGTCTGTCTCTCTCTCCCCTGCCCCCCCCGTCCTCTGTCTCTAAAATCAATAAACATACCCTCAGATAAGGATTTAAAATATATATGTGACAATATCCATATAATCTTTATCATTAAAATAATGTTTAAACACATTTGGATTGTTGCTAATGGGGTCCAAGTGCATCTTTGTATGATTCAGGGGAAAGGCACAAAATGAAATGTTTGTTAAGTTTGTGCCTAAAGGAGTCAAAGTTTGAAGGAATCCTATTTAAGTCTTTAGCAAACCTTGGATATGTAACCTATAAAGAAAAATAACTTTGAATGTTTTTGGCTCACTTGTGAATTAGAACAACAGCCAAAAGGTTTATTAGTGTGATCATCCTATTTTATAAGATCTATTCCTCTGAGGCCTCAGTACAAATTTGAGTGGTAGAGAATTTTAATTGGGAAGCCAATCTAGTTTACACAGCCTAAGATCTACTTCCACAGTTTTTCTCTGTATAGCCTACAAAATAGTCTCTGAAATGCTAACCAAGTTATCTATTGGTCTGGGATTTTTTTCATTTTTGGTCAACTGTCATTTAGGTTTTATAGCAGCAACTATTCTCAAATATAGTTTTTTTTAAACATCTGAAATTAAACTCATCCTTGAACTTAAACATTCCTCTCTATCTTTCCTCTCGGGATGTTCCTATACCAATCTGTATTTCCTTCTTCTCTCCTTTCTGCATGGCCAAAATTCTATAACCCAGCACATTCTGACTTAGTGCCTCTCCCCCAGTACATTTAAAGGATATTTCTTTTACTGAACAGCTTTGGAACTGCAGCAGTAATAGAAACAGAATGAGAAATGGACCTAATATAGAGATTTGGGGGGGGTCTGAATCACAGAGTTTGAGATGCCATCCATAGAACATCCCCTAGTGCTGAAATCCATACAGATAGATGTGAATTGTTTTCTGGAATCCTTTTTATTTTTAATGTCTTGGGGGGTTTGCTGGATGTTAGCTTTAACTTCCTTATCTAAAGGAAGATAGAAAATACTGTTCATTTCTGTAACCTTATGGAAAAATTATTGACACTCATTTGACCTAAGACTCTGTTTAAAAAAAACTGGACCACACTGGGGACAGTGATGTGCCTTCATAGCAGAACAAATGCTGTTCTGTTTCAAAGACCTTTTGTAAAAAATCATTCATCTATGTTCTTCTTTGCCTCCTCCCCCCACCCCCCAAAAGCTCGGGGTTTGGATCACATTGCTGAGAACATTCTGTCATACCTGGATGCCAAATCACTATGTGCTGCTGAACTTGTGTGCAAGGAATGGTACCGAGTGACATCTGATGGCATGTTATGGAAAAAGCTCATCGAGAGAATGGTCAGGACAGATTCTCTGTGGAGAGGCCTGGCAGAACGAAGAGGATGGTGAGCCTTTTAACTTTCTTACTATTATAGAGCTTCAGGACCTGACCACTCTGTCATTGGAATATTGTTGGAAACCAGTGAGATCATTTCTCATTTAATACAGTGATTTTGCTAGTTTATAGCAAAAAATGTAAAATAGTTGTTCGTGTACTCAGCAGTTTTTCTTCTGACCAATCATACATAACTGACATAATAATGTGTTAATACTGCTTTGCAAAAAATAACAAAAAACTGACCAGCCCTCCTATTTAAAGCACTCTGTTCTCTGGGCAGAAAAAGTATCCTGAAAAAGGCCTGAGGGGCAGTTTATAAGTAGATGACTTATAAGTAGATGTAGAAACCATCAGATTCAGCTTTCCCCTAAAACAGTCCAGAACAAATCATTATTTTCTCCTTCAGAAGATCCCTTGCCTTTAACCCATGCCTGTGGTGTTTTATCACCTTTAAAAAAATCAAAATTATTTTTTATTTTATCACCATAAAAATCAAAATTATTTTTATGCCCAACTAGAATAAGAAGTATAGCCATCAGAAGAGTGAAAAGTGTAATTAGGTATAAATAATTGTTTCTTTATAAAACATATTTTCGCCAAGATTTTACTGCTTAATCTTGAAATCCTTAAGGCATTATATAGTTAGCAGCCTGAGACTACCAATTTTGTTGTTGTTTTCTTAATGTAATGGTATCATTTTATTAGAACTTCTGGAAGATGTCTTCTGTATATAATTTGCTCTCAGAGGATGTCTCAAGAATGTCACTCTAAGAAAGTAAGGTGTAAATATTTCCATAAAATAAAGGTGACATATTTTAGTTGATAGATATGCATCAGCAGGCATATGTCTGCTAGGTGTAATCCTGAACAATTTTTATCAGTTGTTTATCTTGGATCATAAAGAAATACAAAACAGTTAAAAATGGAGGATCAGTTTTTCTTAGCAATTTTCATAAAAATATAGTTGGCTCCCTTTCTTTTTTATCTTTGAAATTAATTAATGTATAATAAATAAAATGCCCTGTAAATATTATACCAATTGCTGCAAGAGATTTCTTTGATTCTGGCTATTAGGAAGACTTTAATATTTCTCTCAAATTCAGTTAAAGGAAGCAAATGCCAGGCAGTTCTTTGGCTATATAAAAATTGCATAAATGAAAGCATACTGTTATTTCTCCTTCCTCAAATGTTTTTATACTCATTTATTTCTCTATACAGAAAACTAGGAACTTATCTTTCATAACTTATTTCAGAGTTTGGAAATAAATTCTTTATAGCATAAAAAAGCAAAATAGTATGTAGTTGTATGGTATTCAAAGCCTATCATTTTGTTTAGTGTGCCAAGACCAGCCTTAGAAATAGAGCAGGCAGTTGCTTACATGGGAAAATTTGGGGGCAGCTAGGAATATTCCTCTGCCCCGCGGGGGGGGGGAGAAAAGAAACTCTCCTCCAAATTATTGCTGACCTGAAATTTCCGTTGTAGAGATTCATTCCCATAGCCATAAAGGTTTTGTTCCCTGTTAAGATGCACTTTGTTCCCATTTGGACTGTAAAAAACAGTGAACCTTTATCAGACATTGGGAGTTTACAAAGTCATTTTTTGAAGATAGAACAAGAAATATATGTGCAAATTTGGATAGATGCATGTAAAAATTCCAAAGATAAACACAGGCTTCACAACTTTGCTTAGGGTTGACACTAAACAGCAAGATCTGTTATGTCAGTTATAAAGGGGGGGGAATCATTGAAGAAATGGCTTTTTGGCCTTTTACAAGGGGTATGTGAAGGTATAGCTAAGAAATAATCCAGAATCCAGCTCTAATTATCACTTTCCCCTATCTCTTCAACCACAGGAACCCAGTCCTGCAAAGTAACTTTCAGAGTTCTAACTGTATTCCTTTGTCTTTGGCCACATTTATCATCATAGCTTAATGTAGCCCCATGAAGACCTCTTCCAGTATCCTCTTGACTTTCTATGGCTGCTTCTGTTTTTATGTTTCCTTTCTTCCTGTGTTAGTGCGCTCCCCACACTTAAAAAAAAATTAGTCTGTGATCAGTTATTCATTTTATTATTTTAAGTTATATTATTGAGCCTACTATGTCAATAAAGTCCCCAAATGCTGTCATTGATAATTTTGTCTACTTCATCCAACCAAAAATAAATAAGTAAATACAGTTTCTAATAAAGCTTTGGGTTTAACTTCTACTTTGCTATTGTAATTTATATCTAGATATTTTTGACAGTCTGATCCTATGACATGAACCCTATCATTTTCTGTCTTGAATAATACTGAATATGCTCTCTGCTCAGTAATGATAACTCTTAAAAGTATAATAAAAGACAACTTGGGAAAAGTCCATTTTCTTAATCAGCAGATCACATTTTATGATAACATTCTCAATTTAATATTTAGCATTTATCATGTGCTCACACTCTCAAAGGTACTAGGCATTTCATATAGAAGTGTTCCCTGTTTCAAAGAGCTTCCATCATAAAAAGTTTTGACTTATAACATACAGACTGAGAAACCAGTTTTCAATACTTAACCACCCTTTTTTGTAGCACCTCTGATTTAAAGAAATTCAGATACTTTAGCAAGCCATAGTAACTACAGTGCAGTAAAAAATGAGATCAGAGGTTTATATGATTTCTCTTTCCTTAGAATATAGAGATAGTTTCATTACTTATGAAGAAAATCCTGGGGTGCCTTTGTATAATTGCCAGAGATTAAATGGAGGACAGGAATCTCTGAGGAATGGTGGACTTTGAGAGATGATAAAGTATTTCAGAGTATGGGATCTGAAGTCAGACTTAGATTCAAACCTCAGCTCTATTCACTAGCTATATGACCTTGGGCAAGTTATTTAACCTTCTTGACGTTTGATTTCTTTATCTGTAAAACTAATGTAGTGATTCCTACCTCATTAAAGGATGTTAGAATTGAAATTAGTAAATTATAATTATTAACCAGATTTAGAATCTCTTCATTCAAAATCTATTGTTTGTGTGCAGTGTGTTGCTAGAATAAGATTGTTTAGAGAAGAGTACCTTAAGCCAGAACTATTTCAGTGTATCTTGTTTGCCCTTTTCTTTATGTTGGTGTATCCTGTTGCTTGCTCCTATTTGTCCCTTTTTAAAAACTATTATTTTAGCTTCTGCATTGCAGAATTCCCTTCCATATTAACACAGAAGTCAGAGCCAGCAGCTACCTTCCTGATAGGAAATTTTCTCAACTAATTTTCAAGGTGTATAATAGGAAGAGGGCAGGGGAGAAGTGCTCCTGGAGACATTGAACAATTAATTATATTGTAATGGAGCTATAGAGGGAGGAGTAGATGACTGGCCCAGAGAAAACATGATTTCTCTGGTGCCAGGATTACACTCAGAGGCATTTCTGCCTATCTCCACTTCGCAAGGCACGGTGCCAGTGAGAACAGCAGTTAGTACACCCATAGTGGGGTTTACTAGCTTCCACACCGTGTTTGGTGGGTTCTTAACTTCAGGATAAGGAATTAAATTTTTTACCCAGCAGGAAGTGATTGCCATTTACCGATTTTTTTTTGTAGCAAAGATCTAGCTTGGGATATGAGTAGTCCAAAGATGTGCTGTCATAAGGAAGGAGATGCTAACAAATGTTGCTCACTGGAATCAAGGAAAGGCAATAAAATGCGTGTGTATGTACATAGCCAGGAACACACCTGTGAAAGTCAATTTCATGCTTTAGACTTGACAGCACAGTGCTTTTAGGCATTTCTTTTCATCTTCTTCCATACCTGCTTCTGAACACTCCTGTGATCCCTTTGTTTTCTGTACAAATAAACTGAATTGCTCCTTTTAAAGCATAGCTACACTGATCACCAGCAGCCTGGGTGCCTGAGTTGCCAACACACCTTAACCCACATAAATGAAGACCAAAAAAAAGTGTTCATGATGAAGAGGCATTCCTGCTGCACATGATGATAGGCTCCACTGACTAGCACAGCTTTACTCAGTGAAAAAACACACGGCTGTGACGCATGTGCCTAGTAGTTCAAAGGTAGTACATAGCTATCATCATGAACAAAACTTTCAAAAGATAAGGCCAATAAATCTGTCTGTCCAGAGGTCTGATAGACCAATAGATGAATTCTGGTTATATGTATTTCATTTATCTATTGACATAATATTCCTGAAGACCTGATACTCGATGTTCTACACTGGAAATCATCTTGTTTTACCCAAAAGCAAATCAATGTTGGCCTAGTTCCTCAGAGCCCAGAAAGTTACTCCTTTTTTTTTTTTTTTAAATATATCTTTATTGATTTCAGAAAGAGGAAAGGAGAGGGAGAGAGAGAGATAGAAACATCAATGATGAGAGAGTCATTGATTGAACCCACAACCCGGGCATGTGCCCTGACCGGGAATAGAACCCCAATCGCCTGGATCCTAGGTCAACGCTCAACCGCTGAGCTATGGCTGGCCGGGCCAGAAAGTTACTCCTTGACGTGGGACTCCTGAAACCAGACTTAACTTCACTCCTTTCCAGGCTAGTTATTGAGACTATATGGAATGGTAACTGTGAAAACACTTTGAAGAAGTATGAAGCTCCTTGTGAATGCATAATACTATGATTTTTATTGTGAAATATTTGTTGTTTTTTAGGGGACAGTATTTATTCAAAAACAAACCTCCTGATGGGAATGCTCCTCCCAACTCTTTTTATAGAGCACTTTATCCTAAAATTATACAAGACATTGAGGTAAGAATCTATGTATATTTGGGTATTTGCCAAATACTAGAGAATCATCAACATTCTGTAGTAACAGCATTGTTACAGCAAACCCGTTAAGGTTTATTGATGTGGGTTAAAAATCAATTTCTTTGTCCGAGAATAAAGTAGGTAAAATATAGTAAGTTGCCAGGCAAAGATTTGTGTTTAAAAGTTGTTTACTGATAAATAGATGAGAGAAAGCAAAAGAGACTATGATGTCTTCATATAATAGCAGTGAGACTGCTAAAGTTACATTATACTCTCAACCTGATATTCAGGTATCTTCTAAATTGAGCCTCCATGGAGGTTCACTGGTAGAAATGGCCACCGTGTATGTAAGAAGAGCACTGAGCACAACCTTGTGTGGTTCGTAGCTTGCTCTCTCTTGGGGAGCAGTGTCTTTCCACCAGGTTTATTATTTAATTGAATGAGTTATATGAAGAATTCTAGAAAATAAATCTTTATTTTACAAATGGAAAAATGTTTTGTAACTTTAAATAGTGTCTTTTAAAAAACATATTTTTTGTTTGCCTTAAGTTCTATGTGGCCAATAGGGTGAAGCATCAAGCATTTGTCATTGCTTGCCGTGAAAGTCAGATGAGAATTTAGTTCTGTTCCTTTCCTAATCACTGCCTCTTTACCATTCCTTCTCAGACAATAGAATCTAATTGGAGGTGTGGAAGACATAGTTTACAGAGAATCCACTGCCGAAGTGAAACAAGCAAAGGAGTTTACTGTTTACAGTATGATGACCAGAAGATAGTAAGCGGCCTTCGAGACAACACTATCAAGGTGAGGTTTCTTCAGTTGTGGGAAAGTAGCTGAAGAAGCTAGGGTGACTAGTCATAAAACAATTCAAAGCATAAAGTCTAAGTATTATTTCCAGGAAGTAAGTGAGCATTTTAGATTGTTTCTAGTCCAAAAGCCAAAATCATTTCCTTAAAGGACAGATACCTGCTTCCCCCCAGAAGAGCACGCAAATGGATTACTAAATTCTCTTCTTGAAGTGCGTTGAGTAGGCTGTTGCTCTTGGCCCTCACATAATGATAGCTCCCCGTTCCTTAATGCAAAGGATAAAGTCTGCATTATACTGAAGCCACATGTGTGTGAATGCTTAGCTATACGTCAAGAAAAGGTGCATTCCACACTACTCTGGCCTTTGATTCTTTTGGAGAATCAAACACAATAGAGCCAGCAAGTCTCTGCAGCACCTCATTATCACAGTGATCAAAAGGATCTTGTTTGCCATCCTAGATCTGGGATAAAAGCACATTGGAATGCAAGCGAATTCTCACAGGCCACACGGGTTCTGTCCTGTGTCTCCAGTATGACGAGAGGGTGATCATAACTGGATCATCGGATTCCACGGTCAGGTAGAAAATTTCAAACGATCTTTTGAACTCTGAAATATCAGATCCACTCTGTCTTTGTCATAGATAGTAATTCTGTATATATCTGCATGAACACAGTTCTGAAACTTCATAACTAAAGAAGAATAAACCATCAGCTCCTCCCATCATTGTGTTAATCTAGAACTAGAAAACTTGAATTAGGAATGATTAAGGTAAGTTTACATTTTTGTACATTTAAGAAACTACACATTCTGTTTTAATTTGTTGGAATCATCCATTATAGGAACTTGGTAAACCTTGCATTCCTTATAAAAACCACCTCACAAGGGAATGAAATGAAGCCTTCCTTTTCAGTGGTTATAACTAGTGCAGGCATGTGTTATCTCCTTTAAAATGTGTACAGGTGAGCAATGCTCTCTCTTTGCCAGCCCCTCCCCTGCTATCCCTGCAGTTTTTAATTGCAAACTTCACTCAAGGAGGGGCCTTCAATTTCCAGAGGCATTAGTGATTTGATGACACAGCCATTATGCTGCTGGAGTCCAGTGTAGCTTGAGTTCTGGGTACCAGAAGCACTGCTGGAAACCTCTGTTAGGAATTTTGCCTTAAGCTAAAGGATCTAGTAAACATAATGCATCAAAAGTAACTTTTTTAAAAATGGGGGGAGGGGAGCAGTTAACTGCATTGTTATATTCTCTGAAGTTAAATGTTTACCATTCCCAGTTATCCTCTTCTATGAATAGAAAAGGCTGTTCTTATTTCTTGTCTTTTGACTTAAAGGCATAGCAAACTCAGTTCTTATAGTTATCGACATTTAACATTTATTGGTGCGTGTGGAGTGCCTCAAGGAAGCTGAAACATTATAGAGGCTAACATCATTTATAGGATAAGGGAAAAAATGATTTTCTGAAAAAGGGGGTTAAACTGGATAAAAGAAATAACTTGTGTTATAAAAACCAAAGTAAATATGCAATAATAGAGTAATCAAAGTCAAATACTGTATCTCATCACATAAAATTATCAAGCTACCAAGAGTCCCATGCTCTTATTGTAAAACCTGTATTTACAGTGGATGGCTCTTCTTGATCCCAACCCCCATTCAAAGCACAGAAGTAGAGCCTTTGACTTAGGGTCTAAGTAATCTTGGGCCTTGACCTGTGTGGTGAAGTCTAAGATTCAGGGTCATCAAGCTCAAATCCATGGTACTAAATCAGTCTGTTATAGAAGCTTTTTAGCCTTTATCAGTTCTAGTTCCTTAGGGCTACCCATAGGGCCCTAATGCTGCTGTTATTAATCAGATCCCCAGTTTTAAATGTATCTTATTAATGGTATCAGATTGAATGTCTGAAGTTTTATAATCTTGAGATCTGGGTCCAGTTAGTAGGAGGTAGTGGCTGCTACCTCATTCCTTCCCTCCACACATGCCCACATTTCAGGTAGTGTGTCTTAAGCATTTCACACTGGCAGCACCCCATCTCCTTGCTTTTTCCACTCTCCCATTCCAGCCCTCTATTTACTGCTTCCCTGTGGTCCATCAGTACTCTTTACCTCAGTTCAACTTCAAAGCTGAAGAAGAAGAGCAGGGTGTAGTACTAGCTATGAACGTGGGACAGGAGGGATGGGAAGTGCAGTGGTCAAATGCTGTTAATAGATTGTAGCATCAGTACCATCAAAATCTCAGATAGCCTTCTTAATGGTGTTTGTTCCAGGGTGTGGGATGTAAATACAGGTGAAATGCTAAACACGTTGATTCATCATTGTGAAGCAGTTCTGCACTTGCGTTTCAATAATGGCATGATGGTTACCTGCTCCAAAGACCGTTCCATTGCTGTATGGGATATGGCCTCCCCAACTGACATCACCCTGCGGAGGGTGCTAGTCGGACACCGAGCTGCCGTCAATGTTGTAGACTTTGATGACAAGTACATTGTTTCTGCATCTGGAGATAGGACTATAAAGGTAAAAGGCACTTTTCAGTAAGCCTCCAACTTAAGAGTAGGGGAGTACATGTGAAAACCTGATCAAGGGCTATTTCATATTGAAACATCACTGTAGACTAATTTAATCTTTAATTCAGATACTAGTCTAAATGTAAAAGTAATAAATGAGACAAATTATTTGACAATTTTGGTAGGTATTTTATTACTATAAATAATGGTGAGTGTAAGGACAGGGGTAAATTTAGGTTCAAGAAGATTTGTCTGTAAGACCAGACTAACACCATAGAGTCAATCAATTTGAGGAATCCTCATGTGATAGCAGCAAGCTACAAATTAGCCCTATATTACCATGAATCAAACTTGTCATTGGTTTAGCTTGGGAAGTTGGCTTGGTTTAGTCCTATTTTCTGCTTCTCTAGGACTCCGCTAGCCGTAGACTTTACTAGTGAAAACATCAACTCAACTGCCAAATGCCATTTTCTGTTTCAGGTATGGAACACCAGTACTTGTGAATTTGTGAGGACCTTAAATGGACACAAACGTGGCATCGCCTGTTTGCAGTATAGAGACAGGCTGGTTGTTAGTGGTTCATCTGACAACACTATCAGGTGAGCAGCAGGTGCCTTGCCCAGAAGGGATTGATATTATCCTGCCATTCATTGTTTGTGTACAGTTCAAACAAATCTTCACCTGTGTTATGTTTATTATAAAATGTGTTTCCTTTCTGTAGCTCCTTGCAGGTCAAAAGTTTGCCCCAAGCAGAGAGGCAGCACAGCAAAGCCTTTTGTTGATGTGTTTCCTTCCTGTAATAGTTTTATCACCAGATAGACCTGTTTAAAAGGTACTGCTTGAATGAGGAAGTGGGCAAGAGAAAGAAAGTAGATTGAGGTTGAAAGCCCTTCTCTTTAAATTTCACCTGTCTACAGTTGGAAAGTGCTAATAAATAGCTAAAGGCCATATCTCTCTGCCAGTGGTCTAAAAAAAACAAGATTTGTTTCCCTACTAGCAAGATTTGTTTCCCTAGTGCATTTTGTTTTCTTAGCATTGCATAATTGGCCAGGGAGTTACCAGTCTTTGAAATTATGAAGAATCTACAAATTGGAGTATTTTGGATGTTTTCCCTTTACAAAGATGGGACAACACAGATATGGATTGTATGTGGATGATTTATCAATCCTCTCCATTCCTTCAAAGAAGTACTAAGAGGATGAAAGGGCCATTTTAAAAAAACAACAGATAGAGCCGTTACTATATCTAAGGAAATTATCATTCCTAGAAATCATTTGAATTGGCCTGAAAGCATACAGTTTTTGTATATTACTGTCTAAAAGTTTTTGAGAACTTACCTTGTGTTTCCATTAAATGAGAAAACTGTCCTGGACAATGGGTGAAAGCAGAGAGTGTCCTCAGTGAAAGAGATGGACATGCTATTTGAGGACAGATGTCACTGCCATTCTTCATCCGGTTCTTATTGGTGATTTCAGGAAGCATTACCTTTCTTGGCTTGGTCATTTCCTTCACAGGCAACTGTGTGCATTGAAATCATCCTTTTTATGCCTTGGAGACCCTGGTTATAGAATTATATAAAGCATTGTGCTTCGAAAATATATACTATGTTTGAACTTAAGTCATACATTTTTCTACCTGAGTTATATGGCAGAAAAGAAATAAATTACATTGAAAGCAGTACATTTTTGTACGGGTGTTGATTTGTTTTATTTTTGTGGATTTTTTTTAAAGACATTGAAGTATATTATTATAACATTCCAAGCTTAGGAAAGAATACATGAAAATTCACTTCATTCAATTTTCTTTTCCAGATTATGGGACATAGAATGTGGCGCATGTTTACGAGTGTTAGAAGGCCATGAGGAATTGGTGCGCTGTATTCGATTTGATAATAAGAGGATAGTGAGTGGGGCCTATGATGGGTGAGTTTGCATCCACATCTTAATCCCTCCTGCTTTAGAAGGTTAAATATAGCCTCTCCTTGTCTCTAAAAGATTATAGGTTTCACAGAAAGGACCCAATACAATAGTTCTTGTGTCTAATCTATGTATTTACCTCTCCTTTGTTTACTCTTTTCAAAAATACCCTTCCCAATTATTTAATTGCACTTGTTTGCTCATGATTTTTATTGATATTTGAATTTTGGGTTATATATTTTTCTGTTTTTTCCTATAAAGCAAAGTACTGGACAATTCCAGTATAACAGGATATGCATATAAAATAATGACTTACTAATAAAACTAAATCATTGGAGGGCAATATCTATGGGGCTTAGTGTGGTAGGATCTTAAATTTTGATATCTTTGAATGTTTCCAAAAAGTACAGCTCCCTCTTCTCTTCACTTCTAGCATTTCTATTATAGTGAGTTAAGTAATTTTTATTTTATTCACTCTGATTTCCAGTGAGCATAGAATCCATTCATGCTGTGGATGGATCCCGTGCCTAGCAATGCTAAGCACATAGTAAATTCTTACAAAAGTGTATTCTCTTATAAAGGCCTCTTTCTCATTTCTTCTTATCAAGGTACCTGATTTGGGGGGGATACAGAGCTACCGTTCAAATATTGGCAGCTTTTTAAATATCAGAAACTAACAACATTATCTTAGTGTATGAACTGCCTATACTGATATGCTAAGACAATTCAAGTGGCAGGAAGTGTAGCAGACCCATTTTTTCTGCTTTGAGTCAGCCATCACTCTCATATCCTTGGGAGATTGTTCAAGATGTGATAATATGTTCCAGCTGAGCCCAAGGTTATATTTTCTCATTCCCATTGTTTTGATCTGTACCCACCTTTTTTGGGTTTTGTGTGTTATTTATTGTGAGGAAACATGGCCTATAATTAATTTGTCGAAGGGCTAAAATTTTTAAATCAAAATATGAGTTTTTTTAATATAAACTCCAGAACTCTTAAATTGACCCGTCCCCTGTACATGTGACCTGTGCCATTCTTAGAACTGACCAAAAGAAGGTGCCTCAAAGCTATAGGTTTCTAGGTCTAAGTGATCTATTATGTTATTAAGAGGTCTAATGTATAAGATCTCCTCTTAGCCCCAAAGTATAGTGTAACTTTACCATTCACTATCTTCATCAGTTTGGTTAAGGCTAACCTGTTTCTCATTTTTAGGTTAATCATGTACATTTTCCCCTGTTAAGACCAAGAATGAATATAAGAACCAAGTCTCCAAAACAAAAAAGTTTTTATATATTCCTGTGAGCTACATTTATCATATAACCTATATTCACCATACATATTTATTGCTATGACATTTTGCTATTCTTCCTGTGCTCCCTTAACTTTGCTTTTAACTAAGATTTTTGTCCCCTTTTTGATCTTTAGGAAAATTAAAGTGTGGGATCTTGTAGCTGCTTTGGACCCCCGTGCTCCTGCAGGGACTCTCTGTCTACGGACCCTTGTGGTAAGAGTCTTATTGTTTAAAGGGAGTTGGGGAGTAGGAAGGAGAAGAAATTAAATTGATGTGTTGTAGAATACAGGTCTGGATTTGATAGTTAGAACCTCACAAAACTTACTACTAAGTGCAAAGGCAACCAATACATGACAATACAATATGTTTATATAGCACCTTTCATCCAAAAGTGCTTTAGAGACTATATATGGAGAGAAATGTGGCAGCTGTTTAACAGCTGCGCAGCAACTCTACACATCAGTGTAGTCGAGGAAGTGAATAAGAATTCTGTATCCACCAGAAACAGTAGGGGGTGCTTAGGGAGAAGGAACATAATTACTCAAATTGGAACCTGTCCAGAATCTGAGGACCTGCACACCTGTGCCTACAAAAAGTGCCATGGGAGTCTGCATGAACCCCTGGTCAGCCCCTTAGTTCTATATCCTATTCAAGGCATGCTGCCTCCAGCAACTTGAATCCCATCTTTTTTATGCCTTGTACACCCCCTTGTCTGAACATCTTGACATTTGGGAAAAGAAGTGACTCAAAAGGACTAATGTCACCTTCGAAAGCACTAAATTCTTTATCATGGTGTTTGCCAAAGGCCTGGATTAGAAAATGTTCTAAGGATAAAAGCTGTTTCAATTAGAAAAAGATTAGGTGGGGCACTAGAGAAGACAGTTTTTTGCACAACTCAGAAAAGATGAGAGCAAGCATTTGAAGCCCCAGTATCCTGAATCCTGGCTCAACATTTAGGCAGTCTGCTCTGGAAAAGAGAGAGACACATTTTCTTGTCTTCCTTGGTGGATTTAAAGCTCATTGTTTCACTACCAAACATGTTTTACCTTCATGTGTCACACATGTTTTTTAAAATGTGTACTTTTATTCATTTACAATTAATCTAGGTCTGGTTTTTAAAGCATAATTTACATACAGCAAAATTTGTTTGTTTTTAGTGTACTGCTATGAATTTTGCAGATGTGTAAATACCACAATCAAGTTATAGAAAATTTCCATCATCCCCACAAAATTATGTCCCTTAGAATCACCCCTAGCAACTATTCATTTGATTTCTGTCTCTCTAGTTTCACTGTCTTACGAATGCCATATAAATTAAACCATACAGTGTGTAGCACTGTGCCTTTGGCTCTTTTTGCTTCATTTAAGATTCATCCATGTTGTTACATGTGCTAATACTTAGTTCTTTTTTATTGCTGAGTAATATTCCATTGTGTGGATGAACCAGTTTGTTTATTCATTCACCAGTTTAAGGACATTTGGGATGTTTCCAGGTTTTTGGTGATATTGAAAACATTCCCTTACAGGTTTTTGTATGTACATATTGTTTTCATTTCTCTTGGGTAAATACCTAGAACTTCAATTTATGGGTCCTATGATAAGTGTATGTTTAAATTTAAAACTACTAAGCTATTTTCCAAAGTGGCATTTTGGGAGTTTGCAAATGCATGCCATTTTACATTTCCACTAACAATGTATGGGAATCCTGTTTTTCCACATCCTTGACAGCACTTAGTATTATCAGTTTTGGGTTTGGGGTTTTTTTTTTTAAGATTTTTAATTGACTTTTAGAGAGAGAGGGAGGGAGAGAGAGAGAAATATCAATGAGAAACATTGAGCAGCTGCCTCCTGCATGCCCCCTACCAGGAATCGAGCCTGCAACCCGGGCATGTGCCCTGATCAGGAATCAAACCGGCAACTTTTGTTGCACAAGACAATGCCCAACCAATGGAGCCACACTGGCCAGGGCTAGTATTGTCAAATTTTTAAAGAATGATAGCCATTTGAGTGTGTAGTGGTTATAGTTTTAATTTGCATTTTTGTGATAACTTATGGTGTAGAATATCTTTTCATGTTCTTTTGTGAAATGTCTGTTCAAATCTTATCCTCATTTATTGAGTTGTCTTAAAATTTTTAAAACAGATTTATTGAAATATTGACATACAGTAAAGTAGACATATTTAAAGTATACAACTTAATAAATTTTAACATATGTACACGCCAATGAAACTATCACTTCCACCAGGATAATGAACGTATCCTCATGCCCCCCTGTAATCCCTCCTCCCCCCTCTGCCCGTTTCCCCTGCTCCATTCCCCAAGCAACTACTGATCTGCTTTCTGTCAATATTGATTAGTTTGCATTTTCTATGGTTTAATTACTGGAATAAAAAAAAGAGTATGTACTCTTTTTTGCCTCTTTTCATTAAGCTTAATTATTTTGATATTCTCCCATGTTGTTGATGTAAATTGCTAAGTAGTATTTCATTGTATATACCACAATTTATCCACTTGCCAGTTGATGAAAATTTGGATTGTTTCCAATTTTTGGCTATTACAAATAAAGTTTTTATAAACATTATGTGCAAGTCTTTATGTGACCATATGCTTGCATTTCTCCCAGGTAAATCCTAGGAGCAGAATTGCTAGATCATATGATAAATGTATGTTTAATATTTTTAGAAACTGCCAAACTGTTTTCCAAAGTAGTTGTACCATTTAACATTATAATACAACAGTGCAGTTACTCCACATCCTCGCCCATAGTTAGTGTATAGTCTTTTTGAGTCATTCTGATAGGTGTCTGGTGGTACTTCGTTGTGATCTTAATTTGCATACTCCTAATAACGTTGATCCTCGACTCGTGTTTTGTTTGCCATCCATATATCTACTTTGGTGAAGTTTCTGTTTGACTCTTTTGCCTGTTTTTTTAATTGAGTGGTTTTCTTATTATTGAGTTTTGAGATTTCTTTACATATTCAGGATACCCATTTTGGTTTTTCATTCCCTTGAAAGAATCTTTTGAAAAGCAGAAATTTTTAATTTTGATTTAAGTCTAATATATCAACTTTTTCTATTATGGTTTGTGTTATTTGATATTATATCTTAAAATCTTTGCCTAATCCAAAGTCACAAAGATTTTCCCCTGCGTTTTCTTTTAGAAGTTTTATAGTTTTAGGTTTTACATTTTGGTCTATGATTCATTTTGAGTTAATTTTTGTGGATGGTGGGAGGTATGGTTCAAAGTTCACATGGATATTTAGTTGTTTCCAGCACCATTTATTCAAGACTATCCTTTTTCCTCTGAATTGCCTTTGCAGCTTTGTAAAAAACCTGTTAACCATGTGTGTGAGGGTCTACTTATGGACCTATTCAGTTCCATTGGTCTTTTTGTCTGTCTATCTTGATTCCAGTGTCATACTATTTTGGTTACTGCAGCTTTTAAATAACTCATGACTTCAAGTAGTGTAAGTCCTTCAACTTTGTTCTTTTTCAAAGTTTTTTGGGTCTTTGAATTTTCATTGAAAATTTTAATGAATTTTAGAATCTGTTCGCCAGTTTTACCCTCCACCACCACCCCACCCAATAAATCTGCTGAAATTTTCATTGGGATTGATTAAACTCAGATCAATTTGGATTGGAGAGAAGTGACTTCTTAACAATACTGAGTCTTCTGATCCATGAATACAGTATATCTCTCCATTTGTTGAGGTCTTCTAAAAATTTCTCAGCAATGTTTTATAGCTTTCGGTGTAAAGGTCTTATACATCTTTTGTCATATTTATCCCTAAATATTTCATATTTTTAATTATATTGTAAATGGTATTTTGAAATTTCTGGGTGGTTCATTGCAAGTATATACATGTACACTTTTACTTCTTTTTCAACCTGTGTACCTTTGTTTCTCTTTCTTGTTTTATTATACTGACTAAGACCTTCAGTACAATGTTCACAAGAATTCCTAATCTTGGGGAAAGGCATTTGGTCTTTCACCATTTTGTGTGTGTGTGTGTGTGTGAGAGAGAGAGAGAGAGAGAGAGAGAGAGAGCTTTAGGTTTTTTGTAGATACACATTATCGGGATTAGGAAGTTCCTTTCTGTTCCTCGATTGCTGAGTTTTTATTAGAAATAGATGCTGGAATTTGTTTAATGCTTTTATCTGCATCCATTGAGATGAACTTATATTTTCACCTTTATTCTGTTAATTGATGTATTACATTGATTTTTCAATGTTAAATACAACTTTGCATCACTGCATATTTCATGAACATTAAAAGGATAATAATAAAGGAATACTGTGAACAACTCTATGCTCCAAACTCAATAACTTAGATGAAATGGACCAATTCCTTGAAAGATATAATCTTCCATAACTCACATCAGAAGAAATAGGCAATCTGAATAGGCCTATACCTGTTAAAGAAATTGAAGCAATAATTAATAATCATCCAAGACAGAAAGCACCAGGCCCAAATGGGTTCACTGGTGAATTCTACCAAATGTTTAAGGAAGACATTATACCAGTTCTCTACGATTTCTTCCAGAAGATATAAACAGAGTGAATGCTTCCTTACTCTGTGAGGCCAGAATTACCCTAATACCAAAACCAGACAAAAATATTATAAGAAAATTAATGTAATAAGCAAACACATAATTTCATAACTAATATGAGTTTATTAGGTAGGGGTTTTGGTAATATTTTAAACCATTTGCTTCAGATTTAAGTGTGACCTTGTTACTCTCCTTATGTTTAGTTATTTTACAATAAGGAAAATCTCTGAAACTATTTTAAAGGCAATACCTTCTAAATAATGCCAATAAAATGAAGGAACTTACATTAAGATAAATTTCAACAAAATATTAGCAGATTGAATCCAACAATGTATAGAAAGAATTACACATCATGACTAAGTGGGATTTATTCCAGTTATGCAAAGCAGGTATAATATTCAAAAATCAGTTAATGTAATCCAAAGGGTAAAGAAGAAAAATCACATTATTATATCAATAGATACATTTGACAAAATCCAACATTCATTCATGATAAACTCTCAGCAAACTAGGAATAGAAGGGAACTGTTTCAACTTCATAAAGAAAAATGCAAATTAAAACTCCAATAAAATGCCACTACAAATCTATCAACATAGCTAAAGTTTAAGAGCTTGACAGTATCAATTTGTTGAAGATGTGAAGCAACTGGAGCTCTGATACATGACTGGTGGGAGTATAAATTGGCACAACTTTTAAAAAACTGTTTGGCCATATCTACTAAAGCTAAGCATCTACGTCATGGGCCAGCAGTACTCCTAGGTGAAATGACAGCATGCATCCATAAAAAGACATGTACATAAATGTTCATAGCAACTTTATTTATAATAACCAAAACTACAGTCAACCTATATGTCCACCACAGGAGATGATAAACTGTAGTATGTTCATATAATGAAATATCAACCAGTAATTTTTAAAAAATGAACATCTGTTGCATGCAGTAACAGAGAGGAATTTCATACTGTTGAGTGTAAGAAACCAGGAAAAAAAAATACATGCTGTTATGAGTGTGTTTATAGGAAATCAAAGAACAAGAAAAATGAATTGACACTAGCATTGGGATGAAGATAGTATTAACTTTGTAAGGGGCATGAGTGTGCTTTCTGGGATGCTGAAAGTGATCAGGGTGGTGGTTACTACAATTGTGTGCTAGGTATGCTTATAAGTGCTTATGAGATTTGGATATTAAATTGTCATGAATTTTGCAAGCCCGTTGGCCTCATACAGGTAGCTTGAAATTGGCTAGGGTAGGAATTTTTACAACATGAAAATGTGCAGATACTTTTACAAATTGGGGAGAGTTAATTAATTAATAAATACTTACCAACAGACCACTTTTTATTGTTCATCAATCCTTGGCCTCTAATTATAGAAGAATCCTCGAAGTACAGAGAGAGGATAAGGCCAGGGAGATACTGAGGAATGGTCTTGTTCAGCCTAAGCCTAGGAGAAACTAGCATACTATTTGACATGTCTCAGCTCTAGTAAATATTGTTTTGATTGTGCATGAAATCAACTGCCCAATATTTGACTTTTCCATCCTGCCTTTAATCCAATTTTTTTTTCTGTTTTCTTGAAACAGCTAAATGGTAGAGATAATTATCAGCATAGCATAGCCTTTCCGTAGACTCCTTTTGACATGTTGCTGAATTTGTGTCCTTTTGATTTTGACTAGTTCAGAAGTTTCTGTTTCTGCTTCTTTAGGAGCATTCTGGAAGAGTTTTCCGACTCCAGTTTGACGAATTCCAGATTGTCAGTAGTTCACACGATGACACAATCCTCATCTGGGACTTTCTAAATGATCCAACTGCCCAAGCTGAACCCCCCCGCTCCCCTTCTCGAACATACACCTATATCTCCAGATAAATAATCATACACTGACCTCATATTTGCCCAGGTATGAAAAAGAATTGTGTGCATAGCACTGTGGGTAGGAGATGGAATACTAGCTATGAAGTGTTGCTAGTTCATGGAGCCTTCTCATGTCCTTTATCTTTCCAAATCCTGTAAAGCAGGGGAAGCTGACATCATGAGACAGGGCTGGGGGCTGCGTATTGGATGCTACCTTCATCAAGGTAGCCAGCCTCAGTTCTAGATGATTCTTGAACTAGATCTATATGACCTAACCCTTGTGCAGTAGAACTTATAATTCCTGCCCGTTATCTAATAGGATTGTTATAAGAAAGTAAGAGATTTAGCCCTGGCCAGGCAGCTCATTTGGTTAGAGTGTCATCCAGATATGCCAAGGTTGCAGCTTCAATCCCCAGTCAAGGCACATAACAATCAACCAATGATGCATAAATTAGTGGATCAACAATCGATGTTTCTCTCTCCTCCTCTTCATCTTCTTCCTCCTCTCTCTCTCTCAAAAAATCAATATGTAAAAATTCAAACATTTTTAAAAAAAAAAAAAAGTAAGGAATTTGAATCAGTTTCAAAACTAAGAGTAATGACTCAAAAGCCTGTGGCTTTGTAGTTCCCAGGTTAAACTAGTACCTGTAATAAAGACCCTTTAAATGAGGTAGGTAATCTAATGTGTGAATGGGAAAATCTCATGGTGAAATATGCTGGCCTCTCAGCTCTGCCTTGTCGTGTCATTTGATTATAAAAGTAGCTTTTTAAATTCTTATCCCCACTCCCCACCCACTCTAAAAATGACAAGAACTGTCTTCTGACCTTGGAAGTAAGCCCTGGAGTTGGTGAGAACTCTATGTATTCTCCCATTCAAGTCTTCATCCCCCCTCTGAGGCAGGAAAAGATCCTAAAATTCATCTTTATCTATATTGCAGTATATTCGGATCATACCTGATGTCCTAACCAGTTCAAATACATTAAGTGATCATTGTTTTGGGAAAACTGCGCTGCTGCTGGGGAGCATTGCCATCATCATGATTTCTCATTTCCCACACTTGCCTCAGCGCTTGTGGCAGAAGTACACATTTAGTACACTTCTCTGCACATCTTTTTACAGTGGTTCTGACGGGGGTGGTTTGTGCCCTGCTGGGCTCATTTCAGTGCTTACTTCTCACAGAGGACATGCTGCTTCCTCACCCCTCAGCCTCTTCAACCAAGTGACACAGGCGCACCTTGGTGAGAATCCTAGCTGTGTGCCCTTGGGCAGGTAACTTCCCAGAGCCTTAGTTTCCTTATTAGTAAAATGAGGGTTGCAGTACATACTACACAGAGCTGTTGTGAGGATTGCTTTGAAATGTTATATGTAAAATTCTTAGTGCTTGGCACAATGCCTAGCACCTAACAAGCCCTTAGTAAAAAGTGGTTTATTAGTATTAATATTGTAATTGTCGTGTTACCTGTCCCTCCTTTTGCCAAAATTTTCTGCTTCTGAAATTTCTAAGGCATTTTGCCATATTTAATAGTCTTCCTGGTGCTCTTATGGCTTATGTCTCCTTCCCCTCTCACTCCTAAAACATACACATCCCATAAAGCTCCCTTCTTTGGCTGCCTTATTTCTTCCCAAGGCTTCAACTCTCATCTTAATATAAATAACTCTCAAATTTGTATCTCTAGTCCCAGCCTCTGCCTTAGTTTCCAGGCCACATATCCACACATCTGTCTCTGAAGACCATTCAGGGCCAGAACCTCAGAACTGTCCTCGCTTGCTGTACCTTTATAGGGAGCAGGTAAAAGCTTGATGCTACTCCCACCATAATCACTCTTAATCTCAAGACTTTAGTCACTCTGTGTGAGCACTGTGGCCCTGAACATGTCAGTGAGCCCCCTGCCAAGTCCCCAGATAGGCCATGTAGCCTTTAACAGAAGCTCCTGCTTGGCATGGGCCAAGAGCAGGCATTAAGAAGGACCTCTGAGCCTTTCTCCCAATTGACAACTAAGTTAATATTCTTTTTCTCATAGAGCAAGTGAAAAACACAGGGAAAGGGACTAATGATTATTTGCTCTGTTTTCACACAGGACTCATTAAAGTTGCGGTATTTAACGTATCTGCCAATACCAGGATGAGCAACAACAGTAACAATCAAAATACTACCCACTTTCCCCGGACTAGCCGAGGAGTGGGGCTTTGAGACTCCTGTTGGGACACAGTGGTCTGCAGTCGACTCAGGAGGGTCTACTCAGCACAGCTGACTGCTTCCGTGCTGCTAGCAGAAGATGTCTTTTATCTTTCGTGAATGATTGGAACTTTCAAACCTCACCTCACTTCCCCTCCTCCTTTCCCCTGTGCACCTGTTTTTTCCTCATTTGGTTCCAGACAAAGATGACTTATAAATATATTTAGTGTTTTGCCAGAATCTCTCTTGCTTTGCCGTTAAGCAGAAGAACTAGTTTCCCTATATAGCCTGCTGGGAGAGACCCACTTCTAGGGGAAAGGGGGATACAACTTCAAGCCAGACAGCACCCGGTGTCTCCCTGTGAACTACAGGAATGCCCAGCACCTGGCAAGCTCAGTGCAGCCCCACTATGCTTAGGAGACAGCTGTCTGTGTAGCCCCTGGGGCACGAAAGAGAGAGGACAAGAAGAGCACACTGGAAGGCCTGGGCCTCTTTCCTCCATCTCTTTCCTCTGTTTCTGTCCTTCTTCCCCCTCCCTCCACTCCCCTTCAACCTGTTTCTCTGCTCCACCTGAGAAGAATGAATATGAAGAGAGTCCTCAGTTAGCATGAGGCAAATCAGCTAGAAAATGCAACACTTGGAAGAGATAAATGCTGTTCAAAATTTCAAACAGAGGCTTTTGCTGCAAGTGACCCTATATGACAACAATGGGTTCTCAGACATAGTACTCTCACCATAATTGCAACTCTTCTCTCTTCTCCTTCTAACCCCCCCCCGCCCCCCCCCAAAAAAGGTGGGGGGAGCAGAAATTTCCTGGGCTCCATCAATGGCCACATCTTTTCTGGACTCAGCAGTCTCCTCGATTCCATGTAGAGTGGGGAAAGGAGTTGCTGATTGCATTTCCTCTCATTAACAATTAGATGTGTAATAAAAAGCATTGTACTTCATCTTAAATCACTGGTAAGGCTCAGCCTACAGAAAGGCTTGAAATGGCCAGAGCCAGCAGCTTGGTGCGTTCTGCGTAATGGTTCACATCTCTGATTTCCTTATCAGGGCCTGTGAACACCCAGGCACCTGTATCTTTGCCAATACCATGATCAGAGTAGCTTAAGAGGTGGTCAGGAGTAAAAGTTGATTTCTTTTTCATTTAGGCCAGTAAATATCATTTCTCAAAAATCAAGCTAATCATCTTAACCTTGCACTGCAGAACCTTCCTTCTGCTTTTCCCAAACCTGGTATTTACAAAGAGCAAAGCTGTCAGAGAAAGCAGATCAGGGTGAAGTTTGGCATACAGGGTTTATTATTGGGGCAGAAACTGCCTTCTCTTTCCTTCCTCCTCCTCATCTTATTTTACTCTCCACTCTCCCCCAACCAATAAAATTTCTCTGGGAATTGGTGAATAACATAAATGGACCTCAGCAAGGGCCAGGCTGACCTGGCCCTTGGAAGGCAGCTGTATGGGGTTCAGGGGCAGGGCAGGTGTGCCACCCAACCTGAGAGCACACGGAATAGCATCAGTGTGTTCCCACCTTGTTTCCGGCAGCGGGAGTGGAGTGGATGTGCACCAGCCATTTCTGTTGGCTTGGACACACCCATCAAAAGCCCCAAGGCCACAATACAGTCTCAAGTTTCTCTTGGAAGCTGAGCTGTCAGGCCCATTGTTTCCATTCCTGATCAAAGCAGTTAAACAAAAGAAAGCCTTTTTAACGCTGCTGTAAAAATATCAGAATGGGAGCCAGTTGCAAGTAACCTCGAAGCCAGGCCACCTTTAATTCAGCAACAGAAGGCAAGAGAAGGCCATCTTCACTCTTCCCTCTGATTTGCAAAAAGTTATCCTCTTCCCAAAATGTGCCCAGACTAGAAGTTGTTATTACATATTAAGAGGGAGGTTATGCATATGCATTTATCCTTTCCTGCTTTATGAGTGCTTTTAAGCTTTTAGTTTCAGGTTACATTCAGAAAGTATTTCCCAGTTTAATGATATGTCATTGCCTAGGAAATAGTTTCTGAGTATAATTCTCTTCCCAACTACCCATATGCTACAGAGAAATGTTTTCTGTTAGTCACTTCTCATGGTTCCTTGTCCATTGTATTTACTATTAATGCCGTTTTAATTGGTTGAGGATTTTGCTACAGATGAGGCAGAGGACCATCAGCCTGGAAAAAAACACAGGTCAAGCATTAGAGAGGCATGGATTTTAAGCTGTTTAAAAATATTGTCCAATAGCCATAACTTTACTAGCCCTTCTGTTATATGCTGCTGTTCTAAAGTGAGAGCTGTTGAATATTCATTGGTGCCTGGGGTTTTGCTCTCCCATATAAGGTTCACTTGAAGGTAGATTGTTTCTAAAACTGTTCTGAAGCTTGTCCAGTACATCATAAGTGATAGCGAGCTGGGCCCTGCAGTCTGGAGCTATTAGCTCCATCAAGGAGATTCCCCAAGTTGTCCTCTGCTGCTGATGGAAATGGGAATGAAGTTAAGTAAGTGGTCTGAAAAACTTGAGTCAGTCACATTTCTCAGCTTGGGGGGTCATTTACCAGTTCATTGTAGAAGAAATAATCAGGTAAGTAGAAGTTCATTTCCAGAGAAGGTAAACCCCACTTACCGTCTCTGCATGATTTCAGTGGGAATTATCACTAATCCCCAGCTGGGCTAGAATAAATGTAAAGTTTGACCTTTTAAAAAAGAGAAACAAAGAAAGTCTCAACCCATTTAAAGGAATGGTAGTAAAGGAGCTGAAGGTGTCTCTGGGCCCTGAAATGAAATGTCTCCATTGTAGATTAGTCTCTTCTCACTAAAAGTCCAATGTGGACCTGAAAGAAATGTTCCTTAAAGACAGGAGGAAGCCCCTTCAAAGGTGGGCAAGGAGCATGTGCACCTACTGCACGTGGGAGCTCTGTGGGTGCGTGCGAGCTCTGTTCACACTGGGGCTGCTTGGACAACACCAGAATGCCTTGCTGCGCATGTATTTCCACTCTGAGAACACCCTGTTACTTTCTTACATGCAGTTTGAAAGTAGATGTGAATTGTAAACAGGAAGCCTTTTACACTTGTCTCTGCAAAATTCTTTCTGGTGGCTCTTCCCCAGAAACTTTAGAGACAGGGACTCTGGAACTCTACTGACAGATACTAAAATCTGGCCCTCACAACTTGTTTCTGAACTGGAAAAGACCCTGGGACCCCTAAATCATTCTGTGTTCTGCTTGAGTAAGAAAAACCCTTTTTTATTTTTCTTTGGTAAAATCAAAAGCTGAAGAGAAGAAAATATGCACTTGTCTCCTTTGCTGTTTCTTGGTACCCATTGGTCTGAACGCTGGGATTGGTCTCCTTGGCACGTGGAAACAAAGGGTTTGGGGTGGAATATTGGAAGTAATGAGGGGAATTTTTTCTTTCCTAGAATTCAATTAGATATGTTGGTATCGATGACCCACCTTGGTGTCCTCCATTTACCTTCTGGCCCTAAGTGAGAGCAGTCCAACCCAGAATAGTGCCCACCTGAGGGGCTAGGCTGCAAGCTTGGTTATGGAGGAATCCAAGGTACTTTTAGGTAAAAAAAAAAAAAGGGATGCTGTGACAGTCACATTCTTTGATGATCAGGTTTACCATTTGACTTTAATCCACATTTCTGATCTTCCCCATTTGGATGAGTTCAGCAGACTTGCCAAGAGCTGAGGAACATGAGAAGGTGCCCTTGCTCCTCCTCACCTTCCTTGCTTCCCTCCCAGAGGACACTTCTAGCATGGGCACCCAGAGCCTGCATGCCGAGCCCTTCTCCCTGGGCTCCATCCACATGGTCATCTCTTAGGGTAGTAAGGCTGAATTTTGCTGCTTATTATTGTTTACCTGTACATTTTTTACTTCAGAATTCTTGGAACTGAGGAGAGAAACCAAAAGAGCATGATACTAGCAACCTGATTTCAGGTGGAACTTAATGCATTGATATCCTGAAACCTCTTCTATTAGAAGTTGAATACCTATGATTAGGTACTGAAGTTTCCTGGAGGCAGGTGACATCTAAACTATGTGTTCTACAGCCCAGCTGGCTCTCTCAGCTCCTGATGGCTGTGTGCGTGTGAGGATGAGTGCAGTAAATAGCATTATAAAGTGTCACCTCCCGTCTATCCATTTCCCTTCTTGAAGGAAAAGACCAATGAGGAGGGTTAGACCTCTGGGTACCAAGGAAACTAACACCTTCCCAAATCAGCGATCACTCAAGCCCGACCCAGACTGTTTTGAGGGATGTTCACTGGACTCTAACCATGGGGCAGGCCTGGCAACAAATATGAGCTTCCCTGAGAGCTTTCAGTTGGTTCAGCCCTTTGTTCTCTAGACTCTTAAGTACTGACTGCTTTAACTTTTGTGATTATGTTTTGGTGATGTGTAGTCAATGTACCAATATGTTCACAACCTAGAATCATGGTAATATAGTGTGTTTTGGTTTTTTTAACTGTTGAGGAAAAAAGTAACTTAAATTACAAATATAAGATTAAAGTGAATTTTCCTTGTGTCTTGTCTCTTTGCCCCAACATCAGTAGGACAGTGAGTTTTTCAATACAAATTGGAGTGCACAAATAACCTTTTAAGATAATCTGACATGAGAAAACAACATTGAGAGAAATCAGGGCCAAATGGTCTGAATAAATATGGGGCCCCTGGCATACATTTAATGTTCCATGTTGAATTAAATTGAAGCCAAGCTGATACCTAATTTGGGAACTGGTCCCCATAGCCTCAGCCTACTACAACCCTACCCAAACCCAGAACTGTTAAGTTCTCTGCTTCCTGACAGGGTAAGAAAACATGTAGCCAGATGAGCTCACACTCGGGAGCAGTTTCCAGAGAGAGACTCCAACAAACTATCGAAATGAAGGGAGTGCTGACCATTTAGGGGAAACCCACCCTCCTCTCCTTAAGCCAAATCTGGGGACATGGGTACAAGATGGCATATCATCTCCCACTTCTCCTCTCCTAGAGTCACAAGCAGGACCCTTGTCAAAATTAACCCATCCTTGTTTTACATCTGTGGGCTTTTAGTAGTAATGTCCTCCCCTGCGTGACCAGGCCCGCTGGTGCTGCCAGCCTTGTGGTCTGTGTCTGTCTCACCCAGACCGGCGCTGTGGTCATGAGAGCATCCTCAGACTGCGCCAGCAGGGCCCAGTGCAGAGCCATCCCTGCTGGAGCTGGAGGCACAGCGGAGCATCAAGTACACCCAGCATTTTGAAAATGGGGAACCTGCACAGGAAAAGGGGCTCCCCACACTGCCCAAAACCACACTAGATCCCCTTCCTAACAACTGAGGAAGGGAAGGAGGAGTCAGCAGTGACCACTTGCCAGCTGGGCGGCTGAGCCAGTATTGAGCAGAGGCTGGGCCAGAGCAGTTAGGTCTCACCTTCAGACCCAGGGTCAGCTTCCTCCAGGAAGCCTGTGGTCTAGGGCAAGTTCCTGGAAGGCTCAGCCCTGAAGTTCCTGTTTCCCAAAGCCAGGCTAGGCCTGGAATGCCCCTCCCCTTGAAACCTATAGCTGTGCCACCACCAGCAATGACAAAGGGGAGGAGACCTCTCTTCTTCCTGATTGGCTCTTGCCAATTAAGAGCATTTTATTAGGCTGCTAATTAAAGGCACTTCGTTAGCAGCAGGAGAGGCCGGGTGGGTGCCTGGTGAGATGGAGCTGAAGCCAGGAGGAATCGTTTTCTTCCCCCCATGGAAGCAGAGCCTCTCAGGGAAACCTCTCAGTCCCCCAACCTTTCCCGCTGCGCCTACTACACCCCTTGCTTTCAATTAGCAGCTCTGAGGGGAGTGAGGTCATTACCAAACCCAGGTGGAGAGCCCTCCCCTGCCTCAGGCCACACAGGCCCTGGTGAGGAGGGCTATTCTGTCCCCACACACCTTCTTTGGAGTCTGAGCCGCCCAAGGGATCAAGGAATGGCCCGTGGGTCCCATCTCTGAGCCCATCACTAGCAGCCACTTAGTAAATAAGATGACCTATCAATTAGTCACGTGGTGTGAACCATGTTCCCTTCCGCACCAAAGGCTCACAATGTTATTAAGAAATGTGACCTCCTACCAATCCCTTTGCAAGAGCTGAGCCCTCATAGACTGCAGACCCCAAGTGGGTTTGGGATAAAGAGGGGCCAATGGTTTTACAGTCCCAGTCTCAGGGACCCTGGGACTCCAACGCTCATCCCACATTTGAGGCACTTCTCCTGCCTGGTTCAAATGAGCCCCAGGAAAGTCCCCTTCCTCTAGCAAGAGAGGGAGGCCTGACCATGACTTACCAAGAGGGGGTCAGGGTCAGAGATAACCCCTTTCCAGACCCTCCCTGTCCCATCTTGCCACCCTCCTCACCCTCTCACTTAACTGCAGAATTAGCACCAGCCCAGGCTGGGAGGGCAGATTTATGGCTAGGCCTGCCTCTCTCCATTTAACCTGAGGCCGGCCTGGGCTCCAGACACTAAATTAGATTTTTGACAATTAGAGAGACTAATGGGCACATAGCCATCCCCAGAGTCAGATATCCAGCAAGGCCGTCCTTTAATATCCACCGCTGGCCAGCCAGCCCCTCCCAACCAGCCTCCTCTCTTCTCGGGTGGGCATCTCTCTGCCTAGGCTTCTCTGGTTCCCTCTCCCTTGATTTCTTACCCTCTCCTTCCCACTCTTGCCCAAGGCCAGCTCTGCTCTGGGGCTCTGCCCCTCCTTGCCTTCCTTCCTTGTCCTTCAGTCTCCTCGATCTCCTGTCACTTCTCCATCTCTACTTCCCTGGGGCCTGTCCCTCTGTAACCTTTCCATCTGCCCAAGCAGACTGCAAGCCCCTTGAGGGCAGGGGTTTGTGCCCTATCCCATCCTATAAGTTCAGCAACCAATGGGTACAAAATAAATGTGCTGAGCCTGCCTCCCTTCCTCCTCCCTCTGAGCCTGGATTTCCAAGGCTCGCCCACCCTACCCTCCTGGCACCAGGCGCAGCCCTGGCTCTGACCTTGTTCTGCTCCAGCATGGCCTGGGTCCCCTTCCCTGCAGCCCCTCAACTCTGGTTGGTCTTGGGCTGGGCGGGTAATGAGATTGCAGTAAGTGGTGTTGGGGGGGGAAGCTGCTCACATTCACTCAGGCAGACTCATAGCTCTGTCAGGCTGATTGGTCCTGAGTGGAGGCACAAACGGCCCCCCATGGACACGCTGAGATTGGTTATAAAATTACAAGCATTTGTTCTGCTGTCAGTGGCCTTCCCTCCCTCCCCTCTGCCTGCTGCCTGGGCTCCCCACCACCCCCTACCCAGCCCTCTCTCCCTGGGGGTCAGCCCACACCCAGCCCTGAAGGACCCTGGCCAGGGGCCACCATGGCAGATGGGGCCAAAAGGCTGAGGCCACCAACCTCCCCATCCAGGCAGGTTTTCATGCCTTAGCCTTGGGATGGATACAGCTCAGGCTGGCCTCAGAGTGACCTGAACCCATGCCAGGGTTTCCTATTCCCTGAGCATACGTGGGGATGGCCCAGGGCAAACGCCTTGGAATCCAGATGCACAGATCCCAAGCAGAGGAATGTCCCAAACCCAAGCAACCCTGCAGCAACCAGTGCCCACACCTTTGAGGGGGTCCTGGACAGGGGTTAGGATGGGGGGTAGCACGCGGCTGGTGGCCTTCCCTGCTGAAGAAGGGAACAGCAGCAGATAGGGCAGTGGGAGGAGGCCCCCTCTATTCCCCTTCATATGGCTAGTCCCCTACTCTGTACCTTGAACCCCAGGACAAATCAGACCTTAGGAGAGCCCCACACCACCTAGTCCCCGAAACCTGGGCCAGACTTAAAAGCCAATATGGCCCACCAGGTCCCTGCTGTGGTTACGCTTTAGAGGTTGAGTCCCCTCAGCCTGGCCCTGTACTCACTCTTCAGGCCTGAGGGGCGGTCAGCCCTTCTGGCCTTTGCAGGGGTTCTATTACCCCCCTCCCCCAACCAGGGGCGCTTTGAAAAATTGTTTTGTGTTCTAGTGACACTCTTACAGAGATACCCACTCCTTCCTCGCCCTGCCCTCTTGCCTAACAGACAGACACACCAGCCCAGGCCCTCTTACTCTGTCCTCTGAGCTTCCTTCCCTCCCTCATTTCTCCAACAAGTTCCCCTGCCCCTGGCCCTTGCCTGGACCCTCAGCACCAGCTTCAATTCCCACCTGTCTGTCACCATCCTGTCAGGAGGCACCAGGACACGCTGAAACCAGTTTGGGGGAGGGGAGGAGTGAGTGCTTTGGGGGGCATGAGTGCTGAGGGGTTCCCCTACTAGGAGTGGGGAGCTTCAGGTGGCAGCATCTCCTGGTTGCTGGCTACAAGGTGCCTTCCTGCCATCCGTCATTCATTTTCAGCCCAGAATGTATTTGCTGTAATTACATCTTTAATTAGGGTGGTGACGGCTCATTGTTCACCAACAATGATGGATCAGGTTCTCCCACTTGCCATCCTCCCTCTGTCCCGCACCCTCCAGGTCAGCTCTCCCCCAACTTGGGGCTCTTAGGTTGGGAAGGATACAGTCTCTTCCCACTGAGGCCTGGGCACTGAGGCCTGGAGTAGCCATGAGCTCCATCCCAAGGGTGATTATGTTCTTTTAGACCCCCTGGGGGCTCCCAAGGGACTGGTTGGACCCTGATACCTCCACCCAGGGCTCCCAGCAAAAAGGCTGCAGGTCTCCTAGTGGCCACCAGATGTCTCCTTGGTCCAAACTGACCAGGTTTTGGTGGGGGTGGGGAGGGTGATGTTGCCCCATTCACACACATGGGCATACACTCCTCATCTGAGGAGCTGACAAACTCAGAAAGCCTCACAACTCTGAACTATGGGGTGCCTGGGTGGGTGGCCCTATCTCCAAGCTCCCCTGTGCATTAATCAGGGTCTCTGACCAAGGTCCCCATTCCCATACACTGATGCCCACACCAGCCACAGGTTCAGGCCCAAGTTTGCACGTGGTGGGTGTTCTGTGACTCAGCGAATGAACTGAGGTCAGTCTGTGAGAGGAAACTTGCTGGGGAAGGATGGAGGCTATGGGCCGGCTGAGCAGAGGGGCCAGAGCGGGCAACCAAGGCCCAGGGCCCTCAAGGAGGCCTTTTGAGGGTAACAGCCTTAACCTGGATTAAAATCCAAGCCGGGCACCTGCTGGCTGTATGACATTGGGTGAGTTCCCTAACCTAAGTCTCAGTCTCCTCAATTATAAAGTGGAGACGATGGCTGCAGAGTCACTGAGACATGGCTCGGAATATGAAGAGGCCAGGCTAGGTGGCAGCTGCAGGAAATGGTGGCAGCTGAGCAGCTCTGGGGAACTATCTCTACCTTGGCTGACTAATGGCACCAGGAGCTGGGAAGTAGTCTCCATCTTGGTTTGAGGAAGGCCCTGCCCACTCCAGGCACCACTGGGTACAAAGTGGGGGTGGCAGGGCTGTGACGAAGCTGGTGTAAGATCAGGTGCATAGTAGTTGCACAAGACAAGTTTGCCCATAGGGATTGGCTGACCTTTCAGAGCTGCAG